AAGTGGACTCAAGTTATCTGCAATATTGGTGCAATACTACCAGTGAAACACTTAAATCCTGATAGTGAAATAATTACAGCAACTACTAAGAACAAAAAGGGTGAACTCGAAAACTACTTCTCTCCTTTACAATATTTTTTCTGGACTTCATTTCATATACATTACTTTCTTGTAAAAGAAGCATTATTCTTTTTGTACCAATTTCTTCCTTATATACATATACATAAATTTTTCTTTGGACTTGAATCGACTTCATATTTGATTTTTCTGATTGGCCCGATTCTCGTCCCAACGAACTTGCAGGTAGACCAGCTGAATTTTCCAGGATTGACGATTTGTTAATTGTTCTCCAGGAACAAAAAAATATCACAACATGGCTGGAAAGTGGAATCGAATCTACATTGTGAACTGGAGACTTTGATTGAACCTGTAATACTGGACCAGGACAGGACCAACAGCCGGTCTTGTAGAGTACATCGATCCAGTGGGGTCAGGATAGGTGTTACGGTTTGAGTTCAGGCGGGAGGTGTTGTGAAATTTTCATCTTCTGTCACAAGACAAGATTATGCCTCTTCATAAATCGGGTGCACCAACCAGCACTGGCTTTGAAATTAACAATGTTCATTTTCTTTGTCATTTGCAAGGCAAAGATCCGAATTCTTCCACAGGAAACATTGTGGCCATCCTGCCAAGTTTCACTAATAAATTTATGCATTTCATCTCACAACTGTTATACTCCATTGCAATTAATTTGATTCATTCTGCATGTCATCTGAATTTGAACGTCGTGAAGGCAGAGAACAAAATAAAAAAGTCATTTTCTGCGCATAGGCTTCGAGAATCACATCTGGTCCGTGAAGCAAGCCCTACCAATGAAAGCAACACTGGCCAAAACGTTCCTGCTAGAAAAGGAGATTCTCCTGAGGACTGTTAGATCTCCTGAAAAGCAGAATGCCTATAATGACCACAAGCAGTTGCGGGCCATCAGGCCACCATCCAACATGCAGGGCGCCACTCTGACCACTCCTCTAAATTCAACAGTTACCACTCCCAGGCCAACTATCCAGCTTCGACATTGCCAGGCCCATGTTACCAATCGTCGTGAATGATAACATCTCAACATTGACACCACCCAGCTAGAATGTGGGAGAATGATCTTTCGTCTCCTCTGTATCATCAGTAAGCTTTTTAGGCTATAATTAACAAGATCTAGCACCTAGATAGGAACAACCTCTTGTATGACGAGCAGTACAGATTTCGATCAGCCTGATCCACTGCTGACATCCTAATAAACAGAATTAGTGAAGCTCTTGACGACAAACACACTTTGAGGACCATAGCATTAGATATTTCAAAGGCCTTTGACAAGCTGTGATACAAAAGTTTGCTACACAAGCTCACCAGCTATGGAATCATTGGAAGAGTCTTCTCATTTATAAAAATCTAACAGATAGATTACTGAAGGTAGTTATTAACAGCCAGTCTTCTGAGCCCCTGATGGTCAATGCAGGTGTCCCTCAGGTGTTATTTCTCAGACCAACCCTATTTCGTCTCCTCATGATATTCTCTACTTTTACAAGAGCCAGAAAATGGAGTACTGTTGTCATATTTTGGCAGGTGTTGCCCAGTCCTCACTTTCTAGTTTCAATAGTGTTCAAAAGTGTCTCCAAGTCTATGTGGTGACAAATTATTTTCCACCTTAATCTTACAGGTGGAATATGGTAAGCCTCTTACTGTTTTATCATTACTTCCATGGAAAGTGCTTGGACGAACTACATTCCTTGGTTCTGCCAGGCCTAACTTTCATGGCTAGAACCTGCCATGACACTTACATTGTAACAAACCATCCACATTTCCTCTGTATCCTATCGTTGAGAAATGAAGAAGGTAGTGTAAACAGTGTGTTGACTAAGTTCTCAAAAAACACAATAGCAGCTTTTATAATCTTTTGTGAAAAAAAGATTACATTAAACTAAGAAGTTATACATTTACTCTGTAAATGCATTTTAATTTATATTATTAATTTTATAATGTATAGTATATCAGTACCGAGGATCATTCTTCAAATGTGTATAGTATTACTGTAGTTATTTCAATGCCCAATTTTATGTTGCTATTATATACAGAAACACTAATCTTTACTGAAGCAGATCCAAAATTACGTTGTTTCTACTTGGAAGTCCATTGAAACAGACTGTCTTATTCATAGAAATTTCTCCGATTCATCCTAAAAAAGAAAAAATGAATTAGCAAAACTCTTGTTTGAGATGTGAGTTTTAAAACAACTGAAAATACAATGCTCTCAGCAAAGACAACTAACACAAAAAAACATCGCTGTAGATTATTTCTTTATTTCTCTACTTTTACAATGTTTTGCATTGTTGCATGTCAGAAGTTAAACTTTTTTGACTGCTGACCCCTTCAGGAAATCGTTGATCTTTTATCAACCACTTAATTTTTTAATCAATAAAAATTTGTAAGACATAATTAAAGATAGAATAACTAAATCAATACAATAATAGTAATATTACAAAATTTGATAAATTAACTTTTTCTTTTTATGTATTGATGAATTTTATTTCAATCCACTACACTCTTCTATGTTCAGTTTGTTCCTTTGCTTTGTTAGAACTGAATTTCCATGACTAAAAACCAGCTTCCACCAGATCGGCAGTTGGAATTCAAAATAAAAAGGGATTCAATTCAGTACAGAGTTTAAGATGCTTATTGACAATGCTAATATTGTCAGTAATATCCAGAAGTTACTGAGAGTTATATGCTTGAAAAATTTACTTGGAGATCTATGGACAGTTCAACAAGTTCATCTTGCAGGTTAGATTCATTTTCCAGTTATGTATAGTGTAACAATCCAGTCAGGTATTTTCTCAAAGAGCACTTTAAAGACTTCATTTAATTTCTCAAGGTGATTTACATAAATATCCAAATCATTGTCAAAAATAATCCAGTTTTCATTTTCCATATCATAAATTGAAAAAAGTACTTAAAATCTCTTTGTATTAATGAAGATTTAAAAATGTGTATTTTGAATTTAAAGTTTAACATGAGTGTTCAGGCTTGAATAATTGTTACATCTTTAATCTGCTAATGTGTTTGTACTTTGTTACATTTGAAATATAGGTCTGCCAAATATTTTTTTTTTTTTACATCATCAGAATGTACATGTACAATTTAACAAGTTTCTGCCCCTCTTGACAGTCATCTTATTTTAACATATAACAGTAATTGGTTTATAATTTCATCTTTTTTTACACAGCTTCCCAAAAAGTTGTGAATTAAGTGCATATGCTTTAAATTTATTTATAGATTTGATATAATTTTATCACTGAGTTTTTTTGTTTTCTTCACATGATGTCAGTTAATAATACATATTCCTTAAGGAAGCAAATCCTCTGCAAATGCTTACTATCAGAGGTACCCCATCAGTTATATTTCTAAATGGAATATTGTGCTTGTTTAAATATTCTTTCAAGCATTGAAAAATCCTCACCCATTTTGTATCTACCAAAAAGAGCTCATCAATAATTTGCTTTTGGGTTTAACTAAAATATCTCAATAAGCCATGAGGGTGTTTGAACCACATTGATTCAAATTGAATGGAAAATTTAAAATATTACAAAATTCCATGTTTTTTTTTTCAGTCATCTCATCAATACATTATATTTGCACTTTTACTGCAAACATTTTAAAACAGGTCTAGTCTTACAGTTTCACTCACTCCTTCAATTGATGGTATTATAATCTCTTCTGCAACACCATTTTTTTCTTTTTGGTTGCTATATTAAGAAAAATATTGTCTGAAGCGGTAAACCCTTTTTCAGAATCAGCCTGAGCAGGTGAATAATAGTTGTTTGATTTATATATTTGTCTATCAAAGTTCTAAAAAAAATGAAAATCTTTATCTTTTTTTTTTATTAAGGTGAATTCTTTGACAATAGTCTTTCATATTCATAGATTTTATAGCATCGTTACTAAGTAACTCTTCACATAGGAGACAAGTAAATTTCATTTCATTTGTAAATGAAGGTATAAATTCAACTTTAAAATATTTTAGTGAATGTTGTCAACACTTCTTTTAGGATATACAGATGCTATAATGCTTGAAAGATTTGTAGCTTAAATAAAGGAATTTAAGCAACAAGCTACAATAAGCACTAATCAGTGTTTTTGAATTTCAAAACATAAGCAAAAGAATATATACAGTAAAATACAACAAATTTGTTCATTTTCACTTTAAAAAAAGAGAGTAACTCTAGTGTAGAGTTCTTTCCTTCTTTTAAAGCAAAATATCATTTAAAGACAAATATCGTCTTACTATATCTACCTATTATTTCCTAGGGAAACAAATTTTACTCGTTGCAATTTCTTTTGGTTGGTAATTTTACAACCATCTGTCAAAGCATGCAATGAGGAGATGTTGATACAGTTCTGTATCAACAATTCTAATCAACTCTCAGGTAATTTTAAAACCCCTAAAATGCCTTATCAACCTCTGAGATTGATATAGACCACATTGGGGACTCCTGATCTTGACACACTAAATACACATACAGAGGATTATTAACATGAATGTACACAATATTAAAAATGCTTCTAACTGAATTTCCAAATCTTTAATGGTAAAAATATCCATTGATACTTGTGCTTACATAAAAATGTATAATTAAAACAAACTAAATAATTAATGTAATGAAAAAGCAATATATGTATTTGTTACTTGCTAAAAAAATGCAAAAAACACACAGCCAAGTAGGCAAAAAAAACCATCTTTAAAACTGTATTTTTATATATTGATTTTAAAGTCTACCTGCTATAAAAACTCATTGTTTGCTAAGTGTATAATTATTCATTTGTGACAAATGTATCTTTTTTTGGTACAGGCTCCATAAAGTGTAAATGTGATTATAATTTCCATCAGTATGATAAGAGTTTAATTGGTGTACGTTGTCTTTAGTGAAATGTATGACTGGATTCCCGTATGGTCAAATGTTTGGCAAATGATAATGTAGCAAGTTAAGTTTAGCAGCAACGATTCCAGTCATAAAAACATCATCGATCCAAAAATAAGAAAGTTGCATTGACATCTCAAATATTTTCTTTGCATTCTTTAAACTCAACAGAACAAACATACCCGAACAGTAAACTGGGTAAACTCTAGCCCGAAATTCTCGAAAAGTCACAACCCATTTGCTGAAATGCTTTCTTTGTCGTCGCACTGGTTTTTCATTGACACAAGTTTTGCAAAGAATAGAGCGATAATCCAACAAAGACGTAATCTCAGGTTTTCGCAAGAATGGTCCAAGTGCGTGAATGTTGACAAAAACATCATCATCGACTTTTAACACATACCGCACATGGGAGCAAAATTTAATTGTCCATTTGATAGCTGACATAAACTTGTAAGTCATATTGCGATATGAATCGACATAGTCTTCTTGTATAATATCGTGATGGAGTTCACTTTCCCTAACAATCGCCTTATTGATTTGGGATGAGCGAGAATGACCCATGAAAAACAAAAGAGATGTATTCTGAGAACCAAGCAATTTATAATTGGCCCAGGATCTTCTCAAAGAATTCCTCCGTTCAATGTTTGATGGTGACGAATGAGCTAGTATCACTACAGTCATGTTGGGCTGATCTGAACAAGTATCCGTTTCCAGAATTTTGTAGTGAAAAGAATGTGGGTTGGACTCTGGGGGGGAATCAACGAAGGATTTGCTGCTCACATACCATGTAAAAGATACAAAAAATAATAGCACAAAGAATCTCCCTCCAAAGTCAATTGTAAATTTTTTGATCTTTCGAACTGTAGACCTGTTAAAAGAAACAAAATGGAAAGATATGTCATATTAATATATGCTACTACTACTAATAATAATATCAACGACAATAATAAATTAAAAAGAACATTTCCAATTTAAAATCAAATTATATTTGGATAACAAAATATTAAAACTGTCAGTGATAAGAGAATTAATTATGAATGTAGAAATAAATCACAATCTTTACTACCTGTCATAAAAAAATGATCATTGTGATATTAATAGCTTACATGATTCATCTTAAAAATTACATTCTTTCAGATAGTAGATATTAAAGAATATTTACAAAATAAGTTTTATTATGGAAATAGGGAAGTAGTCTTAACAAGAAGTACCGTGACACCTATAAAAGCAATAGGTACCATGGTAGACACTTTCATTTCTACTTTTCTTGCATTACATCACAACCTTCCATAAGTTAGGCTTGAACACGCTTTGAACTTTGTAGTTAATACTTAAGCTCTATCTCTCTCTCATTCTCGCTCTCCCCCCAGTGTTACTCATTGTTTCCGAATGTTAATTTAGAGGTTGTAGTTAATTGTTCTTGAAGCTTTCATTTTAGTTTTAATTCTAAGTTAATACATAAAATTTAATATTCCCCAAAAGCAAAAATACTTTGGTGTATTTCAAACTGAATTTAAATTGATTGGAATCTTTTCTTTTATTCCTTAGTAAGATCTATAGATTCATATTGACAAATGTGTTAATACAATATAATTTTTTTTATTAAAAAAATATTTCAAAAATAAAATATGCTTTTCTAAAATGTTATTTGAGAAAAATTAGCTAATTTAAAGTTTAATATGAATTGAAAAATGTTACTTACTTTTACTTTAAATAATAACAGAGGGATTTATTGAGTTTGATATTGGGGAAATTTAGTCAGAACTGAAAAAAATTACTTAACGAATACAACATGAACTCCATTTTATATAATTTTTTAAGTATCTTGTAATCTTTAAAATTTAACAAAATATTTTAAGAAATTTAAGATTTTATTTAATTTTAGGTACTTTGGCATTTACTTACGAAAATGCTTGTTAAGAAAATGTTAGAAAATTACCAATAAATATTCAGTTTGTTATAGGTACTTATCTTATTTTCTGATAATATCCTGTATGGACATCCATATTTACAAAAATTGACATGTTTATTTGCACAAGAAAATTCAATTTTTTCTTTTAAATACTGGGGATAGTTGAATTATATCAGCTTTTGTATTGATGATTAGTAAGTACAAGTTTATTTTAATAACAATATAAATTGGTCACTACAAATTAATACAAACTTTTAAAAGATTTAAAAGTTTATAAATTATTCTAATTAAAATTTTATATAATGAAAACTATTCTTTTAAAAATTCATTATTCATCAAAATAGTTTTTTTTTCTTATGACAATAGTGCCTATAATATATTTTATTTATAAAAGGAATCAAAAAATTTTCTAATTAAAAAATGTTTTAGTTTTATTGCAAGGTAGATTTTCTGTATTGCACTCTTATGACAAAGATTAAGTATAGGATTTAAAAAGTCACTTTAAATAGTGTCTAGTTGTATTTTGCATAAAGAGGATATAAGATAGCAAACTTAAAAGAGTCCTGTTTGACCAAAATGTTTTGATAGTTTAAATTCTCTGAATACTTGTCCTTAATAAATAAGCGAAACAAAAAAGAATTTCTTAAAATCTCATAAAAATCAAATGTTGGTGATAAAATGTAAAAAAAAAAAAAAAAAAAAAAAAAAAAAAAGTACATAATCTTACTTATTATAAAACGCAGATTGTGTGTGTGTGTGTAACGTTGGATCGGATTTCCTACATTTTTCAACCGATTTCAACAAAACTTCACAGGACTACATAAAATTACCTTGTGGTGGTTCTAACAGCACCAAAAATGGGAAAAATATAATTGTTTTTGCACAAAATCAATTTGAAAACACAATTAAGAGACATCGTGAAAATGGAAGGGGGACAACTCACATCGGGTTGTTTGTATGTGTGGGTTACTTTAAATATGGGAGCGGATTTCCTATATTTTTCAGCCGATAAAACAAAACTTCACTTTTTATTTTTTGGCAGGTAGTGTTTCTTATTGTCTTGCACACTTTTTTCTTTATTTTTAACATTCAGAATGCTTTAAAAATTCCATTTACAAGACAATTATTTATAATAAAATTCTATTCAATCAGTAGACTCATAACGATTGAAAGCAATGTTTTTGTTTGAGTTTGGGTTTGACCAATTCCTAAAAAAAAAAAAAAAAAAACTAATTAAGACATGCGTGTCCGTCAACCTTAAACAATAATCTAACGATCTCTACTGATTGTACGAATACAAACATAAATTCTTTATCTTTAGGGAAAGATAATGAAATCTAAACTAGTCTTAACTAAAAATAATAACCGGAATGGGAAACTACTTTAAATACACATGGTGTCCAATTTTTTTACTGTATTCAATAAGTAAAAATCATAAATTGTAAAAGATTATTATTACAGAGAAGGCTACTAAATGAATAAGATTTGTTAGATCATAATTAATAAACCCAAATAAAGTTAATATTTTTTGTATTAGAAACAACGAGTGGAAAATATATTCAAATCAGAATTCTAATTATGAATCACCACAAGCAAAATATGCAATTTTTTTTACTGTATTCAATAAGTAAAAATCATAAATTGTAAAACTAAAAGATTACAGAAAGGCTACCTACATTTTTCAACCAATTTACAAGACAATTGTTTATAATAAAATTCTATTCAATCAGTAGACTCATAACGATTGAAAACAATGTTTTTGTTTGAGTTTGGGTTTGACCAATTGAGTTTGGGTTTAAAAAAAAAAAAAAAAAAACTAATTAAGACATGCGTGTCCGTCAACCTTAAACAATAATCTTTGTCAATTTTATTTTTCAGTCTTTATGATGGTGGATACTTGATCTATCTCTTACTGTTATATCCCCAGGCAGCGCCGGGCTCTACTGCTAGTTAAATATTTTTTTTTCTTTTTTTTTTTCTAAAAAAAAATAATTTTATAAACAATTTCATTCATTTGTTAGTCCTGAAAGTTTCACTAAAATCTGACCATTATTTGATTTTTTGCAAGAATTTCCAAATCAATGTGTTTCTCACCACAAAAAAACACTCAAATTTCCCATAAAAAAAATTAATGTCTCCTGTTGATGCCAAAAAACAAGATTTTTAACCAAAGTTTCAAAGGTTCTAAAACAGATAAAAAAAAATAATGTTTACATTAAAAAAAAATCTCTTGATCTTTCCACTTGATAAGATTTTGTTTATGTTTGGGGCATTTTTCCTTGTGTGTCCTATTTTACTAAATTTTTCGTGGTACCTATATTTGCTGCATATTTTCTGAAATGCAGGACATTACAATTGTTGCTGCAGTATTTACATGATTCTACAAAGCTTTTTGAGTTTTCACTAACTTTTTATTACCTGTGATGTGCCCAAATGAAAAAATAAAATAAGAAAATAAAATATTAAAACAAAATTAAAAAAAAAAGGCATTTGCTTTCCTTAAAAACCCATATCTCCTTTTCTCTCTCAACTAAGGAGAAGGCAACTCATAAAAAAAGAGGAAGAAGAAAAAAAAGTAAAACTGTAAAATGGAAATTAACTAGTCAAATTGTGACTAGAAATTGACCAAAATAAGAGTCTCTACACATAACTTCCAAAAAAAAAAAGAGAAAGAAAGGAAAGCCAGAAAATAAATAAAAGAATTTTGACCAATCACAAGAACAAAGAAACTTTTGATGCTAGCTGAAACCAAGATTGGACCCAAGTAGTCTGGAGCCTTTCAAAATTTTATATAAAGAGACAGCTGAAGAGAAGACAGCTAGAAACCGGCCCAAACATGTCACTTGAAGAACTAAGCAAGATATTTTTCCACCCTTTTTGAGGATTGAGATATAGAGCAGATTGGCACCACGTTTCCAAAGTAACCACACTCCTGACAGCTGCCAACAAAATGACAACTACTATCAATGTCTGACTAGTAACCAAACTTTGAACAACCGAATTTATAAATAACTCATGCCAATTGAAGTCGATTAAATAAACATATATTATTTGTTTATATCTTTGAGTCTCCACACCTGTACAAACATGGAAGCCTTTAAATGTGTTGGCGCTAAATTTTGTCTAATTATTATGTATAGTCAAGACTTCTCCATTCTGATTTACAGAGAATGTAGCTAGTATTTTGTTTCTGTTTCTTCTGCACTTTATTCAGCTTGGATTGCATTTTCTAGGATTAGATCAGGTTCTCGTAAAAGACATTCTCTCAACCTTGATTCCTTAATCCCACATATCAAGATATATTTTATAAGACTATCAGTGATGCATCTGAATTTGTATTGTTGTGCTTAATGTCATAGTTCAATTAAATAATAATCGTCAAATTTTTATGTTTTTGTCTGTTTGCATGAGAAGAATTTGTGTGTTAAGGTTAGATTCTTTCTAAGCTCACAATATATATCAAATCTGTCTCCTATTACTTGTAGGTCAGTTTTGTCTGGATGTGAATCAAATGTAAATGTAGAAAAGATGTCCCTACATTTTAATAAAATGGGAATTATGACTTTATCTGCTTTATTATTCTTTTCATTTGCAAGTAAGACCATGTTGAATTCAGTTTCCTACCTCTTCCATGCAGCGGACAGATTTTCTTGATTGAAGTTTAGTGGCATCGGTGGGGTAACAATTCTATTCTGTTGTCGCTGTTTGTTTTTAGTTAATAAATAAATACTGCTTTTTTGATTCAAAGACTTCTGACAATTGCTCCTCACACGATCGCTTCTATACAATGTTGGATATGTTTGTTAGTATTTAAAAATTAAATCTATTAGTGAATGAACAAGACAAGATAAACAAATGTATCACTTATGAAAGAACTTTATTCTTCAAATGCCTAGATGTAACACTGTGACGTTATAGTGGCATTATATGAGGGTGATGTGCGCGTATATGTGTGGTGATGTGTAACATCAACTCTCAGGTTGTTTTACATTAAGCAGCACAGACTTGAATGATTAGAGAATAAAAAACAACCTCCAGTAAGAAATCTACAGTTTATTGTTTTATGCCAAATAAATGTTATTTATAACACTTACAAAGAATTTTAAAAATCCATGGAAGATTTTTTTAGTAAAACAAACTTTTCATTAGTCAGTAAGAAAAATGAAGTTCTTAATACGGCAACCCCAAACTTATCAATGTCAAGCATTTCAGATACTCAAAACAAATTATAGAAAAATCCATTGAATTATGAATTTATAATGAATAACAAATACTTATTGAAGATGTTCACATGATTATCACAGCAGGAACCTGTTTAAAACTGACGGAAATGAAAAACAAAAAGTATATATTCAACAAAACAATCGCTTTAAGTTTACTATATTAAATCTTCTTTATGCAAAAATACAACTAGATGCTACTTAAAATGACTTTTTAAATTCTATACTTATATTTGCCATAAGAGTACAATATTTGTTTTTTTTTATGACTAATAACAAATAAATAACCATTTATTTAACTAACAGATGAATGAGTCAAAGTTAGAAAACCTGTTTATTGCAACTGAGAGTCAATTGAGTCATAGTGGAGGAGAGATGACCTAATATTTTGTCAATTAAACTTATTATTGCACACACTGCACCAAGAAAAAGTGGATTCAGAACAATGCAAATGCATTCATCAATGACAAATGTAGGAATACAAATTGGATTTTGTTACCTGACAGTAAGGACTTAAAATCTCAAAAGCAAATTTTCTCTTAAGTCATAGATACCAATATAATTCAACCATGTATGGGTAAGTTTTTTCTGCTAGAAGAATAATGGGAAAAGGTACCTAAAACCATTCTTCTAACCATATATTTTAGTTTTTGTTAGAACTTATTTGCTATTTCTGTTAACTAATAATGCATGTGCACTGTAAAAACATTGACTATCAATACCGAATAAGACAAGCACATTATATACAGAAATGAGAAATGATGGCATTGTAGACACTAAAAAGAAAAAATTACCAAAAATAAAGGCATCATATGATTTAAACAAAACTTTCAGTCCTTATTCATTGTTGCTATTTTCCCCTGTGGCTTGTGTGTGTGTTTGTGCTTGGCAATGTGAATGGAATGAACAAAAAAAAACCCAAAGCTTGAAAATAACTTTTCAACAGCTTCACTTTGTTGAAAGAGGAGTGCAAAATAGTAGTAATTTTCAAGGAAAAGGTTTTTCCAGTTAACAATGTTCTTGACTGTAGTAATTGTTTTTTTGAGAGAGATTTCTCCGTTAGATTCCTCATTTCTCCCATGGGAACTAACTGCTAGGACAGTTTTTGCAGCAAGGGTTGCGTATAGTTTCCTTTGATGGGTGTTTCGAAGGGAGATTTTTCTGCTGGTTCCTGTGGGAAAAACAAGAAATCTACCAGCAAGCTGACAAGGCTGGCCTCTTTTGCAGCAAGGGTTGCATGTAGCCCTTTTGTAGGGAGTCTTGAGGAGAGAGACCACTGAAAATGATAAATGGAAGAAAGCTGGCTGGGGCAGTTGCTGAAATGGAAGATGAAAAGGAGAGAGACCGCTGGCTGTGGATGTAGAGGCAGTATTTACCTGAGCTCCCCACGAGGCAGGATGTGGCACAAGGCCATTTTTTACATGGGACAATTCAAGCACGTAGATGTAGAAGCTGCTGAAATAGAGCTTGGTCAAGGCTTTTATAACCTCAGGAACTTCCGGTTATACCTGACTGATGCTGAATCGAGCAAAGTAAGGAAGCCTCCACTGCCACAATAGCCAACAAGTGAAATAGTTTTTCAATAATGAATGAAATGTATACTTATTTTATTAGAAAAACTTTGTGGAAATATTTTTCACGGATCAGGTTGACCTCCCATTTCGATATCTCATGCATACTTTTCTTTTTAATTTGGGTGAATGTTCACAATTTTTTTTTACAATTATGTAATGAAAAATCCCTGCAGATGTCATTTCAGTAAAACAAATTATCAAATGTTAACACTAAAAATTCATCCCGAACCTTGCCAAAGGATAATTAAATAAAACTCAAAAAATATCTTTGTTGACATTTGGTGCTTGCATAATTTAATACATTATTTTCCTTCAAATTTGACAGGAAAAAATCTACACTGAATTTTTTTTTAAATTACTTATAAATTATAATTTTTCAGTGCCATTTTAAAATTCATCCCATTGCTGTTCGTAACAAATTCATGTGAAAAATCGAAAAATATAAAGTTTAATGCCATTTTCGTGTGTGAACATATTTTTAAAAGAATTTGATTTTTTGCACGCAAATTAACAAAGGAAATAATTATGTGATTGCATTTTTACTTAAGAAATAGGAGTTTTTATCAACTTTTTCCTTTTTTGTGGCACTTTCTTTAGCTTTAATAAATTTTAAAATCAGAATAATTGAGAAAGACCTCAATTGTGTGCAATAAATATTTTATGACCTCAAGCAGGTCAGAAAATAATAAAAGAAATAAAAAGCCAATTTCGTTTTTAACTATTTTTTCTAATGTAGTATAAAAAATAAAATTAATTCTAAGTTTCTTATTGAATTTAATGTTAATTTATTTTTAAATATAAACTAAAAAACAATACCAACTTCTAGCTCTTTTGAACTGCTTTTTAGTTTTATTTTATTTCACACGCGCTTCGAGGTGAAACTACACAACTTCGATGACAGCTTATGAGTTTAACTAAAAATATTTTAATTATCTTTTAAGAAAAAAGTAAAAGCATTACTTTTACAAAATCCAGTTAATTAACCCTTAAAGTTTACATTGAAACAAATCTCTAGGACAAATAATGAATTTTCTTTTTGAGATTTTTTTAATTTTGTTTTCATTTTTTTTTCGTCTTTTTATTTCGGGTACCTTTTTTCAATTTCAATATTTTCATAAATACAAAGTTTAGACCACTGTATTGGGGTGGGGTTAATTTATTTCCAAACAAAAATGAATAGGGTCACTCACTGCAACAGTTGATGACATTGAATTATTGAATACTACTTTTTTTTTTTTAAATGGAATTATATTCGCACAATAAACTTAACGGTATCGGATGCAATATGATTTACGAGAGAAACTTGATTTAATTCATCCATAATCACAACAGTTTTAAAATTAAATTCGATGGATAGACTTGGGGATTTATTAGATTTTACAAGTATGACTTTCTACGATAATTTTGAATGGAGGTGCCAACATTACTCGATACTTCTTTAAAAATATTTTTTTTTACTAAGCTCAAGCAAGATCGAACTCACTACGAGACTAGCGCGCTAACAATTAATTACTAAATGTCGAGACGCCCCAGTTCAATACTTAACCTGAAATAACAATAACATCAAATTAAAAATATTTTTATAAGGTCAAAAATTACGAATTTTAGAAATTTTGAAATGATCGTTGTCTCTATAGCGAATTTTCTTTACATTTTAAATTTTTGTAACATTCAGTCAATGGCTTAATCCGAATCGAATACCTGAGACCCCCACCGCCTCGCAAATATTTTTTTTTACACTTTCTACGGGTTGTTGGCTTTTAAAGTATGTATTTAATTTTTAAAATTCTAAAAACATTTTGATAGATTTTTCGAGGCCAAACTATGCCATCTTACTAAAAAGAAAATATGCTTTCAAAAAACTTAACCTTTTTAAAATGAGTCCATAAATCACTAAGTGAATATACTGCGCCAGAAATTATCAGGCTTTTCTTTTCTCCTTGACGTGGGTTATGATTTATTAATCTCCGTTGCTTTCTTTCCACTTTGTTTCTGTCATTCCTGAACAAAGATTTTAAATTAGCCTTTGCAGTTTTTTTATCTTGTAAAAATGAATGGAGAGCTACATCAAAATGAAATCAATATCAGGAGAGGATAGAAAAAACACAAAAATAAAATTGACTTTACCTTCGAATTTTAGGCATTAGCTTGCGCAAAAAACATTTTTGTTGATGTGTAGTCGCATCATTCTTTAATGTTTTCACATAGAGATGAACCATGTTGTTGTTTTTAAAAGATTTCCGTCTGAACACTGGAGAGATCCTCCAGACTTCCGAATTTCTTGAGTCTTCGGTAAATGTGCACGTGATGTTTTCAGGTTATTTACGTGCAAATTATTCTATATATGCTTTTTCGAAACGCCATCGCAAAATTTTTTTTTTTTGTGCAAGAAATTAATACTTAAATCGTGTAATGCACTTTTTGTTAATCATTATTATTCCTCTTTTTTAAAATAATTAATGCTTCTTTACTTATTCAATAATTGTAAGGTTTCATAAAATGCCCTGCAAAAAAAAAATTAAAAAAAAAAAATAACTACTGCACCTGAATTACTTTCTTCATTTTTAAACATAAATAACCAAAGAATAAGAGTACTACTAATTAATAGATTGGAGAAACTAAGTAAGATGTAGAATTTTGCCGATTGACCACAAAAGAGAAAGGTTGTTTAAAAAACCCACTTCTTTTGAAATTGCAGACGAAGAAGAAAAGATAATATAAAACTTAAGCTGCTTTGTCCTTCAGCCAAAAAAAAACTAAAAATACAGGGATTATTGTTCATCTACGTCACTGTTAGTTGTTTGCTATGCCTAGTAGTCATGGATATCGATGCAGATACTAAAAAAAGCTATTGATACCTGAATGTTGAAATACTCTCGCTTTGTAAAACGCATATCTCATCATAACAAACAATAAACCTGCAGTACACTTGAAGATTCTTATTCTCTAGTTTCATAAGATTTCCTTCACTTTCTGTCACACATACACAGTCCCTTTCAATTATTTGAATTCTTTAAAATTGGTTAACACTAAAAACTAGAATAACGGGGGTTATATATGGGATGGCGAAACATCCAAAAAGGCCTTCAAAATATAAAACCACTTAGCCCACAAATTAACCATTATATATATGTGAATTTATTGATATTTGCAAAAGTCAGGATCAAACTGACTACAAGCGACGACAATGTGCTGTAAAATAGCCTATGTAACAAAACTGGACTGTTTCTATGAAATTTTATTGAAGTGTTGTGTTCTCATCTGAAAACAAAGAAAAGTTAAGAAACTGAAAAGTGAAAATAAGAATTTTTAGTTTATCAATAAAGTTAAATATATTGTTCAGTGTGAATGCCTTTAAGCACTATGCTCAAGCAAAGCTTTTGTTAGAGTGATTAGTTTCTTTAAATATATTTTTGATCAGAAGGATATTTTTAGTTTGGCTGCGTAAACAAAAAAATTAACATCTCCACAAACATTTGCATGGCACAAGGCTGTCAAAACCAAAATATAAAACAACAATGTTTCCTAGAAATAAAAATTTTTTTATATCAACAATATACAAAAAACTGAAGAATGAATTTACTCAGATAAACTGAATTGCAAATTGATGTTTATCACACCAGAAATTGTTTTGTGGCAGACAAAACAAAAGTGTTTAGTTTGTTCTATTGTGCAAAATGTCAATATTACTAGCATGAGTTATTTACCTTTTTAACTGCTATTTGAATAGGTTAAGAAGACTTTAAAGAAGTTTTTTTTTTATTTGGGCTCACAGAAAAAAAGATTTCAGTTCAAGAAATAATAGTAAGGAGGTGTTGTAGGTTGAAATTCGGTGTAAGATGAGTTTACAGAAACTTATTGATTGAGAGAAAATGTAATCTTCACTTGTATAGTAGAACATTCAAACAATTTTGATGAAATAGACTTAATTTGTCGCCATACAAAAATATTTCTATACCATATTTGACGGCATATAAGGTACCCCTTTTTTTCTTTTTTAACTAAAAATTATCTTTTAAAATTCCCCGTATCTTTCTTATATGACATGTAGGTTTAAAATTCGAGATAGTCGATCGAAATTAGCTACCTGGCAACTCCTAGTAACTTTAAAAGGCTATTATGCAGATTAAAAAGTGTTATCATTGATAATATTCATTAATTTCATCACGTTTTGGTTTTATATTAGTACTTTGTTTCACTAAAATTATATTCAATGAATTCAAATTACAGTGTAACCCGGATATAAGAGAAACCCGGATATAAGAGAGATTTTCTCTGGTCCCAAATTAGAGCCTGTGTTAATGTATATAAATTAGACCCGAATATGAGACCCGGATATAAGAGAAACCCGGATATAAGAGACTTCTCCGGTCCCGACAACTCTCTTATATCCGGGTTACACTATATATATTTGTAAAATATATTTGTTTCATTAATATTTTTCTTGTGATAACTTCCGGTTGCATTGGTATACAATCAGATTTTTTATATTCTAATTATTCCACTAAGTTGTTTGTAGCGGTTGTTTACATACACCACGCCCACAGAATACTCAATAGCCATTGGATAGAAAATAAGTACTATTTTCTATAGGACAATTTATGCATCGCATGAGCCACATCAAATTTTCTGATGTTTACTTTGCCAAACCTGGTTTTAAAAAAATCAGTGATTGGTTGATTTTTGACTAATAATATAATATAACACTCCTTTCAATATTTTTCCTGCTCTCGTTCCTGGAGCCTATTCAGAAAGTATAAATAACACGAAAATCAAAGAAAAGAACAGTAGTAGAACAGTAAATCTCCAGAGCTCAACCACGTACGTGAATTCTCATTCTTCTACTCACAAACACAGACACAAAATTACAATTGCACTACACTGTGAACTGTCTGTCCAAAAAGTCAAGTAACCAACTCAGAATTCTATCATTCTTTTGTACAACTTTCTCATACTTAAACTCAGTTATCACATATTGCTGAACTCTAAACATTTTAAACAAGAAAGTTCTTTTAACACATATAATTTACAATCTCACATCAGTACAAGGGGAACTACTTCCTCTTTCTTAACTTTGTTTCACCAAACACAATTGTTGTACTTGTTTGTTTTTCAATACATGTTATTGTTGATTACTGAATAATCTCTTGTTATTCCTTCGTGTTTCTTTGTAAAATTTAAATGTGATGTGCTAATCAAAAACGCAACCTTCACCAAAGCCTTCTTAATAATTTTATACCAAATCTCATTAGCACGCCACAATTGATGACCCCGACGTTTTAAAGGAAAAAGGGCCGCCACAACTATTGGACACCACCGAAGTTTAAAACAGGCCATAACAATTGGTAACCCCAATGCTCGTGGATATCACCGACGTTTGAATTATCGCCTACATCCAAGGAAGATAAGATTCAAGAGAGCGAGTCAGACCCAATTTGTACAAAATATGTACAAAAATTTTCGATTTGGCGCGAGAAAAATTTTCCTACCACACGTGCGTTTTTTTATAATAGCTCTGTTCAACATGGCTGAACAACCTGTTAGTGAAACAGTCGTCATCCTAAACTTGCCGGTATTTGACGCTACCAACGTATATGTATGGTTCGCACAGATGGAAGCAATTTTCCAAGCGAAAAGAATCCATTCACAGATGGCACGCTACGCATATGAAAACTACCGCCAGAAATTGCTTCAGACATACTGGATCTTTTAGACACCGTACCAACACATGATCCTTTTGATACACTAAAAGAAGCTATAATATATCGAACTGGCAAATCGCAAGAGCGTCGTCTGAACAACTTATTTAATACACTACAGCTAGGTGGCAACAAACCTACACAATTATTACGAAAAATGAGAAACCTTCTTGGAAAACATACAATGTCTCATTCATTGTTCCGCAAACTTTGGCCCGATAAACTACCAGCCCAAACCACACAAATCCTAGCTACACTTCCCGACGATTTAGATTTGATCAAGATTGCTGAAATAGCGAATAAAATAAATGATGTCACGATAATCAACAGTGTCGATGCTCAAACATCACACGATATAACAATGGAGGACATGATTTATAAATTGCAACAGCAGATCAACAAGTTGTCTACGCAAATGGAGCGCTTACACAGAGAACCAGCTCACAACTTATACAAGTCCCGACGTCGTTCTCACACCACCTCTCGTCAAAGGAAGGCTACAATATGCTGGTATCACCACAAATTTGGCAACTCAGCAAAAAATGTACCAAGCCGTGTAATTTCAAACCACAAATAGATTTTACAACAGGCCAGAAGGCGGGAAACGCCAGCCCCAGCAGCGAGTAAAGGCGGCGTCTGCTGTTGGGGGTCAGACATCTGTCTGTTCTACATTAAAGACAAGAACTCAAATGAATCATTCCTCGTTGATACCGGTGCCCAAATCAGTGTTATCCCACCCAGATCCAACTTCTCGAAAACTAAATCTCCGGTTATCTTACGTGCCGCTAATGGCATACACTTTTCGACCATTTCCATACACTTTCACATCCTGGTCGCAAGGCTACATTCAAAATAATATCGGAACATTTTGTTTGGCCGAATATGAGCAGCGATATCAAGAACTATACCCAGTGCTATTTAGTCTGTCAGCGAACTAAAGTTCAACGTCATACGAAATCACCACCTGGTAATTTTGCTGTACCTGACGGTCGTTTCCATCACTTACTCGTCGACTTCGTGGGTCCGTTGCCGGAAGTGCATGCACATCAATATATCCTCACAATTATTGACAGATTTTCGAGATGGCCAGTCGCCATTCACTTACAAAATACAACCACAGAATCTGTTGTCAAGGCTGTATTCTAACATTGGATATCAATTTTCGGATGTCCTTCAATAGTAACGGATCACGGTCCGCTATTCCAATCACAGCTTTTCACAGAATTTATACATCTCCTCGGTGCGAAACACATTTCGATTACTGCATACCACCCCTGTGCCAATGGACTCGTTGGACGTTTCCATCGCCAGTTAAAAGCTGCCTTGACCAGTTCCAGCACTGTCAACAAATTATGGATGGATAATCTACCCTTGGTAATGTTGTCTCTCTGAGCACAAATAAAGGAAATCCTTAATTTTTCGCCAGCTGACCTCGTCTTTGGACGACAATTGGTATTACCTGGCCAATTCCTTTCCAACCATCCAATTTCAGACGATATTACGAATTTTGTTAAATACCT